TAGCACACATGTAAATACACACACACACACACTGATAAACAAGATTAAATGTGTATTAATGCAAACACATATGAGTATGTATGTATGTACTCACATATGTGTATGCTTACATATATATATATATATTATATATATATATATATATATATATATATATATATATATATATATATACATATACCCTTATGATTATATATACATATATTCTCCTAAGTATCCCTAAATCATTTATATGTATTATATACATTACAATAGCTATTTTACACATTTTTTGTGCTGAATAGGTGTTAAAATAATGTTTTAATGATCTAATCTTAGTAAAGTATAGCCTTATAGACATAAATCAATAAATATAGCTTCTAGAAGTACCAGTATAAATATTAGAATGATAAGCATAAGTGTATTGAAGTGTAGATGATCAAAATATAGGTGTTTTAATATCCAATTACCCATGTAGTGTCAAGATGACATTCTCATCAGGACCATTAGTTGTCATCAGGGAGTTTCGAAGGTCTGGCGCCTGACCAATGGTCGACACCCTGTGGACACTACTTTGCTAAAATAGGGCACGTGCTCAGAATTTGTAAAACACCAGTATTTTATAATGGGGTGGTATGTCTTAAACTTAATATGTTCTTTTCTTGGTCAATATTGACCAGGGTTTTTGTGTATCTGTTTTGGAATGTTAATGTAAACATTCACACAGATATCTTATGACATTTATTCTGTACCATAAACATACAACATAAAGTGATAGTCATATTGGTACATACTTATAAACTTTTACTACAGTTAAAAACTTAGTAGCATTTAGCTAATTAAGAAAAAACAAGCTAAACAAAAAAAAAAACAACAAACAAAACTTCTTAAGTTCTTAAGAAGTTTTGAATTTCCATTTGGATGATGTTGTCGATAGAGGGGTTGCAATAAAAGCTAATATTCTTTTGTGCAGTTGTTATTGTTGGTGTTTAGTGTGTATTAGTAAATCTTTAATAGATTTTAAGTTTGTATGTACTGATAGTGGTTTGTGTGGAAATATGTCCTGTAGTTGTAAGTTAGGGTCAATCATGTTCCAGTTGTTAAGAATGATGCTGTTGATTTGTTGTCCAATGGGAGTATATGGAGTAACTATTGTTAGTCTTTCTGTATTTTCCTGCGCGCGCCTGTTGTTGATAAGTTCATGTTGCGTTTTATGAAGCGCTTTCTTAATGTTATTGTTGATGATGCGCAGAGGATAGTCCCTTAGTACTAGTGTCATAGTTAAGTATTTAAGTTCTTTTTGTAGGTTGTTAAGTTCTGTAATGATAGTGCAGTATCTGAGAGCTTGGCTGTATATGTTTCCCGGAATGGTGTGTGTGGGATGATGTGAGTCATAGTGAAGTAGTCCCATTGTGTCAGTTGGTTTTGGATAGATTGTCGTGTGAATGTTCCCTTGTTGATTTTTGTACAGTAGTATGTCTAGAAAGTTTATTGATGTTGCTGAGTGGTTGAAAGTGAATTTGATTGTTGGATGGATGGTATTCATGTAGTTGTCTGATCTAACACTTCATGTCTGATCTAACACTTCTATGGGTTCTTTAAAAATGAAGAATATGTCGTCGATGAATCTTCTGTAGAAAGTAATGTGGTTCGGAAATTGGTTGGTGATTTGTTCGTCAAGCCTTCCTATGAATAAATTCGCATAGCATGGCGCAACCCGTGTGCCTATTGATGTACCTGTCAGTTGATGGTAGTGTTTGTCACCAAAGGAGAAAGTACTGTTTGATAGTATTTCTTCTATTAGGTTGCCTATGATACCTGGTGATGGGCAGTCAGGTGGTCTATCTTGTAATGGTATGAGCCTCAAGTAATGTACTACTGCGTCTATGCCATCTCTGTGTGGGATGTTGGTGTAGAGTGATGTCACGTCAGCTGTCACAAAAATGAATTCTGAAGATTGAAGTCGTATATTTTGTAACATGTTGAGAAAGTGTATACTGTCCTTAATGTAGGCTGGTAGTGATTCGACCAGTGGTTGTATGAATCTTGTCAGGTATTCTGATAGGTTGTCCGTAGGTCCGCTGCATGCGCTGACTATTGGTCGTAATGGAATGTTAGGTTTATGAATTTTTGGAAGTCCGTAAAATAGTGGTGGTCTACATGGTTTGTGGGGAAGAAGGAACTCTGCAGTCTGTTCGTTAATTTTATGAAGTTTAAGCATGTAGTTTGACATGTCAGTAATTCCTCTCACAATCTTATTCGTTACTTCAGATCTCCATAATAATAAATTTCTATCTTTTTCTGAATAGCTTGATAAATCTTTCAATCCAATTGATTTAGTGTACACCATTTTATGGCATTGATCATTTGATAAAATACCAACTGTACATAAAATCTTGTTCATTTTATTTTTTTCAATTTTTTATTAAGCTATAAATAAACACAAAATACACAGACATATTTAATACATTTTAATACATTTATTAAAAATGGAAAAAATATTTACCATTTATAATTAGTATTTTTAAATATGTACAATGTATAGTATTTTATGTATTTATTTTTTTAACTTTGATTTTATAATTTTTTTTTAAATTAATGATTAGCTATGGAGAACAAACAACAGCTGGTAAAACATCAGACTAATCAGACTAAGTCTTAGGGTTTTAAATATTAAGTTTTTCTTCTGTTTTAGTCAAAGATGACATAATATGTCATTAATTAGAAAGCAAAAACTTATTTAAAAAAGAAATATTCATTTGAATTAAAGTTTCTTTAAATAATAGGTTAAACGGATTTTTTTTGTATAATATTTTTGATAACTAATGAAAATTGTAAATGTCAATTAATTTAAAATAAAATCATGAACACAAACCTATAATACTTATTTTTTCACATAATACTCCTATATTTTTACAAAAAATTTCAAAAAACCCACCTAAATTTTGCACCAAAAAACTCATTAGAATATCTTTTTTAATAAAAACAAAAAAAAAAATCACAAAAAAATAATGCTACCATGGTTACCAGACCTCCTTTTTGCCTTTGTTAAAATTTGAAAAATATCTGTAGGTAAAGTACAATCGTCATATTGATTTAGTTCTAAATATTCTCATTAAAAACAAATATTATATTCTGATTCCTCGTCCTAAAAACTATACTGGGGCTCATTTTCAGCTTAATTACATGTTTAGTTAAACAGTAACTTGTAAAACAAAAACTATAGTAAAACAAAAACTATAGTAAAATGGCCGCCAAACAGAAAAAACTGCTAAAAATAGCTAATTTTAAAGTAACAATAACATTAAAACCCCTTTAATATCAGTGCTAAAGTTTTGCAAGGTAGTCTATGTTATATAGATGACCATTTTTACAAAGTATGAAGAAAATCTAAGATGGTGGGTTACATACCTGTCCCACTTTCTCATGGAATACCTTAAATACATTATTCATGACGTAAACTATATCTATTAAGTTTTTTTGCTTCACTTGTTTAAATTACTTTCATTTTACAGACGGTGAAAATCCTTTTTTCATAAATGATTGAAGTTCTTAGTTTACAGTGATGCAGAATTTATTTTTGTAGGGGGAGGGGGAATGTTGATACCAAAACTAGGAAGGAAAAAATGAAAAAGGGCCTTTAAATTTGCAAGTAGGGCTCCCTAAATTTGTTGGGCCCCTGCGGGGTTTGGGGTAGCCTAGCCACAGCTCTGTATTTATTGTTTAAACTTACCTTTTTACCTTTTTTTTTATATCTATTTTCTCTAGTTTTCACTTAAAAAAAAGTGACCAAAAGAAAAAAAAAGCAATACAATGGTATCAATTTTGTATGTTTACATCATAGTGAACAAAGAATGAATGCAATGTTAAGTACTTCTTATAAGAATATTAGATAAAGAGCGTAGATCAATAAAGTTTATTCAAGGCCTTATTGAGGTGTTCATGATATTCAAATTTTTTATAAATTCTAGGGGGGATGCATACCCTTCCCCCATCCCCATTATCCTCTTCCTGGATCCGTCACCTGTTAGTTTATTATTTTAATAAAAATATTTAATATTTTATTTTAATAATAATAATAATAGTATAATAGTATAATTTATTTTTCAAAATTATAATTTTGAATAATAAATTTATGTAACATTAGTAATTTTTATAGTAGTGTTTCATAAAACAATTGTCTTCTTAGGATTAAATATTCAGTTTAAATAGTATCTGCGAACAAGAGTTAATAAAATTTTTATTTACTAATTAACATTAGTGGTTTTTGAAATGATTTTAATGAGCAAGAGGTATAAAATAAAAATTTTGTTCGTCCAAAAAAATTATTAACCGTCAATTCCTTGTGTTTGCTGGTCGCCTTACATTTCTTATTTTCCACACTTTATGAGTAGTATGCAAAGTGCAGTTGGGCTTTGGAATGCAAAATCCATTTAAAATTAGAATTTTTTTGTTTGATTACTTTTTTGTTAAAATTTGTTTTGTTTTTTAATTTTTATCTAAATCAACCATTTTAATATGTTTTAATTATTGCTATAAATTATTACATGTATTGAACAATTTTTAGCTGGATTTTATATATAGACTGGAAAAATTTTTTTTACTTTAGCTGGGAAATGTTATAAAAGTTTTGTAAACAAAGTATTTGTAAGCTTTGCAAAAGCAATTATTCATTTTCTTCAAAATTAAACATTTTTTTCTTATTCTTTGATCCCAACTTTTCACCTGTTTATCTAATAGATTTAAGTGCATATATAACAAGTGCATATATGTTGCACTTTCTTTACTTTGTATTTTAAATTTCTTACAGTTAAGCCTACCTGATTAACATTCCTTTTTTATAAAAAAAAACAACAACCTATCTTTATCATTTTAAAAAAACAGAGAAATTTTGATTAAAATTATGCTGTTAAAATATTTTGTTAATAAAGCTTTTGTTGTTTTCCACTGGTTTCATTAGTTATTTAAATTATTTTTTGAGGGGTGGTGGTGTTTAAAATTGTTCTAGAATTTCTTTTCAGAGGTTTAGCACAGCTGTGCAGCACGCAGGGACCACTCAGCTATCTACTGCAGACCGTGAACATGTTTATCAATGGATCCTTGAGTTAGCAAGTCCTGAAACAAGGGAGCATGCTTTGTTAGAATTAAGGTATGTTTGGTTTTTTTAGTGTTACATAGCAAGCTTTATAAGTTTGAAAATATATAAACTTTGTTAAAACAATATGAAAAGCTTACACAATTTCTCTATACAATAAATATGTTACTCCTTTAGGAGATTTTAATTTTTCTATATATACACCTTATATTATATATATATATATATATATATATATATATATATATATATATATATATATATATATATATATATATATATATATATATATATATATATATATATATATATATATATATATATATATATATATATATATAATATAAGGTATATATATATAATATAAGGTATATATATATATAATATAAGGTATATATATATATATATAATATAAGGTATATATATATATAAAATATAAGGTATATATATATATAAAATATAAGGTGTATATATATATATATATATATATATATATATATATATATATATATATATATATATATATATATATATATATATATATATATATATATAGAACTTATTATAAAAGAGAATATAAGGTGCTTTTCTTTTTTGCACTAACATATTGAACGGTTTGAAGTTGTTACAGCTAATTTATAGAGCTAACAGCTTTATAATTTATAGAACAATTTATAGAGTGGAATGTTTACTATTTTAACCAAGCGCATTTGAAAAAGCAATTTCAAAAGAAATTGCTTTAGTGAAATACAAATAGAAAATTAATATTAAAAAAATTGAAACTTCAGAATAATTATATTAAAAATGCTTTTTTCTGCATTGGGACGTTCCAATTCCAATAAAAAGTTAGTTGTTCAAGAATGGAAATTATTTTTGATTCATGAAAGAACCAATCTTGAAGCGATGGTATGCAATGATCAGATAAGAATTATTTGGAGATCAACATTCTACAAAAATTTCAAGTTTCCTAATTTGTTAAAAGTTATATTGATTATCTTGGTGATTTCTTAATCAAACTCGAGCACAGAATGAATTTTTAGCACAGTAACTAATATTATTTGATCAATGCCTATCCATGAATCACAGTATGCCTAATGATAACATTATGGTATTAGGAAACTATAGCAGCTGGTTAAAAGAAGAAATAATCCTGGTTAAAAAACAATCATTTTAATAATCAAAAGTGTCAAGAAATATGAAAACGTTAACCATTTTTAATTAAGTTAACAGCATGTTTTTAGATAAATATATCAAAACAACGAGGGCAAAAAATTAAAACACTGATTTATTCTTCAATATTAAATCAATAAAAACTTGTAAGCACGTGAGTTTTTGTTTAGTTGAGTTTTTGTTTCACTATAATTAGTTTTGAAAAAATTGCGATTATGTGCAAACAATATACTAGAAATTGAGAAGTATGAAGAGCTACTTTGCTATCATAGTGGAATGACTGCGCTGTTCTATATATATGGTCAACATAAAATTTTCAACACAGCTTAGCATAATAACAACATATAAACAAGGTCGATAAGGTAATCAATGGCTGCAGACAATTTTAGATCGGCATTGTTGAATGCTGACTCTAATTCCGAGGGATATATACGCACCAGGCTTTGTGATTGGGCCCAAAATGAACTATATTTAAAATCAATTTATGATGCCAATATACAAGATATTCTTACTTTTCCTCTTCTCATTTTATATTTATTTATTTTAAATATTGATATATCTATGCATATGTATATTTATTTTAATGTAATTTAAAATTTTGTATTTAATGAAGATTTATGGTTACTTATGTGTCCTGGTTTGTTTTAGGTAAACTTTAACAATAAAATCACTGTTGACTGTTCACTGTTGACTGTTCACTGACACTGTTCATTGGGCGTAGAGCATTTTATCTTAAGCAAAATAAACTAGTAAGCATGTGAATATTTATTTAGACAAAGTTAGTTTTACACTTAACTTTTTAATTTAAAGGTAAAACTAACATTTTCTAAATAATTTAAGTGTAACACTTAATTTTTCAATACTTAAACAAGTTACACTTGTTTAAGTAATGAAAATAAAGCGACAATTAGCAATAAAAAAATTATTTAAATAAAGTTGACTTCAAACTAAGTTAGTTGGTTCTTTAAAATTTAGTTGTTTGCTTTCTATATAGTGATTAATTTTATCGCTTGACATTCAAAGCATGTATACTTAAATTAAGGTTGCCCATATACAAAATATATTTCATATATTTAACTGTGTAATGCTTAGGTTTAATTGAGTGATTTTAACATTTACAAAATATTATCAAAACATTTTAAAAAATTATTTTTTCCTTGGTTTTTCTTCCTCTATTTCAATTTTTTACAAAAAGTTTAATTTCTTGTAAACATGTTAAAACTTAAAAAACTGCAACAAGTAATTTTTATTGTTTGTTAATAGCTTTTTAAAAGTAAAAAATCATTATTTGCAAAGTTTCTTTCTTTTCGACATTTATACAAATTAGCTGTCATGACCCGTAAAATACGGGTCTTGGGAATGTATTCCAAACCAACCTTTTCTATACTTAATCCTTTCTTCAATATTTTTAAGTAAGCGTAGAAAAAATAACTATATAAAAATAGAAAAACTATACTCATTGTTTACATTTTAAAGCTATAAAAAAAATTCTATTATAAATAATTTAAAAAAACTTTAACCGTTTTGGTATACGTTGACTTTTATCAAAGGATTGATTATTAGTATCAGTCTAAATAATATTTAGAACACCTGCTTGAAATGAGTTAATTAATTACCATCAGTATAAATCGGTATACTTTCAGAAAATATGAGATGACTTAAATATGTGGAACAACGGACTTACCATGACCCGTATAATACTGGTCATGGTAAGACTGATCCACACAGACTATTTTAATAATTTTTTAATAAAGAGATAAATATTAAAATCTTTGTTTTGAGTTAACAATAAATGTTCAATACTTAATAACTTCTAATTTCTATAATAGTAATAAAAAAAAAATGGTGATGGCAGTTCTTTTTTCTTTAATAAGTTTCTATTAAATTTTTTTTCAGATCTACAGCTTATTAAGACTCTTGCCCCGTTAATTTTAAAGAAAAATCAAATTCGCATGTAAATCTTTTTCTATAAGAAAGTTGCCTCTTTAATGCGCAAACTTAACTAATTACTAACCACATTAACAACTTAAGTATCTTAAGTATCATGGTAGTCTCTTTTTTCAAACCTCTATTCCGACGTTGAGCATCCTTGACGTCCAAAAGCTGGGATTTTAGGGAATAGGCAATTTGGAGTATATATAGATAGGCGCTTTGCAGTGTACATACATTTACTGATTTATTTAGCCATAGGCACAGTGAGTGTGCATACATCGACTGAGGGTTTGGGTTTGGGTAGGTTGTCTTGAACTGAATGAATCATCTTTTTCATGTTTGTGGACTACAAGGAGTCTGTTAGAATAGAGGTTTAATAAGAGACCTTACCATCATGACAATGCGCAACAAATTTTTAATGGTGTAATCAATTTTAGAAATTTTAAAAAAGCTTTTTGGAAAATTCTTTCTCTTTCGTTTATTATAATATATATTATATTAATATCTTAATTTATGCATATAATATCTATAGATCTTTAAAAATGTTTTACTTTGTATTCTAGAAAATTGAAAAAGATTTTTAAAAAATTAAGTATAAACCAAAGGATTTGAACCCACAAGAAGCACTTCAACCACTTTGGCATGTTTTAAAGGAATAAAAAAATGCACATGTATTAACTAGAAATCAATTTATTTATACTTAATACAACCCTTGGAAGCAGGGTCAGTGTTCAGCATTGCCGACCTGAAGGTGTTAGAGGTCAACAAAAAATTGACAACCTCATTTCTATGTTTTATGGTCAGACCTTTATATCAAATAACTTTTGCTGACCTGATGCCGACCTCAAAAAGATTGCGGTCGGCAAATTACTGTTATTTTTCCTAATTCCGAGGATTGATAACAAAACAAAATATATTAAGAAAAGTATATGGTTACAAAAAAACTTCAACTAAATTTGCATTTAGTTAAATTTAAAAAAAAAATTATTCATCTATTAACAATTAGTAGATAAACCAATTACATAAATACTAATTATAGATGCAGCATTTTTTATCCACCCCAACTATCCACACTTGATATTAAAGATATATATAATAAAAGGGCAGAGGGATGCTTTTGCCCTAAATTTGATCCCACACCTTGTGAGATGTGGGCCGTCTCTTTGTTCTGCAAAATGCTGAAAAAGCATTGTAAGATATGTCTAAAATTAAAGATTAACACTGCAAACCAATTTACCTGTTGCTGATGTTTTACGAGAGGTTAAAAATAATCAAAATCTGTAAGAAAACAAAAAAAAAATTATCTGTAAAAGAAAAAATTTATTATATTTATAAAAACATTTATTGCAAAGACAAAATAGTTATAACACAAAATAACAACATAATAGCTATCGGTGCAAACAAATAATGTAATTCAACCAGAAAATAAAAAGATTCTTACCTTGTTTGCAAAAACTAATTTCTTTTCAAACTATTAGCTAATGATCAATGTAGTAAATTTAAAACAATTAAAGCTTACTAAGTTAAAACCATATTTTCGCAGTAGACAAAGTAAACATTTAATAGTTGGTAGAGCACCAAAGTAGAACTAAAGAAATAGAATAACAACTAGATTTAAAATGTCTTTAATACATAGTATTTGCAGTTAAATATAAAAAATAACTCTACCATCACAAGATAATGAAGGTAAAGTTTTAAAAACAAACAAAAAATAAAAAAAAGAATTTGTAAAATTATTTCATAAGTATGATCCTTTTAATTAAAAACAATGATTTTTTGAACAGATAAGGACACATCAATAAAGAACATACACAGTGAAAAAAGTTTAAGCTACTTCATATTGTAAGTACTTAATAGACCTATGAAACTTTTCAACAAATTTTTTTGTAAACATAATTAAATATTTAATCAAATTGATATTAAGAAAAAAAATTGGTATTTTAAAAAAAAATTATTTATTTACAAACAAAAATTAAAAAATGTATCAATAAAAATATACATATAAACTAAGTACATTCAAATACCTCTTTAATTTATAGATGAAGTTAAGTTAAGAATTTACTACTGCCCACTCTAACTTTTTAAACTTCAGTTTTGGTCAGGGTAACTCCTTCCTTTTAATAAATAGAGGGGAAATCTTATTGCCTATTCTAGATATAGAAGACTTTATTTAGAATTTGACAATTGTGTCCCTCCACTTTGAAACCCATGTCATTGAATATGACAGAAAAATACAAACTTCAACTTCACAACAACTTAGAAAATCAAACACATTTTATTTAAACAACCTATAAGTAAATGTATAACTTCATTACATTAAGATAAATACAAACTTTAAAACTGAAGATAAAGATAAATTAGAATTTAAAACTTATAATATGTGAACTTGTAATAAGCTATGGCACTAAAATAAAAATAACAATTAAATGAAAATTGTTATTCGTTTTTAAACATTCTGCACAAAAAAATTTGTTGAATTAGGAACTAAAAAAAAAGCAAACGTATATTTTTTAAGAAGTAAATTTGAAAGAATCTTTAAAAGTAAATTTAACTTAATAAAATCTAACCTGAATACCACCACTAGACAATAACATTGTACTAAATAATTAGGTTCATTTAAAACATGATTAAATATCTAACAAAAACAAGAGCAATAAAAAATAAATAATTACTTACTAAAATAAGGTCATCTTCAGCTTGGCGGACATGTATTTCAGGTACCCCCTTTAGAAGTCCGTAAAAAACGAGTCACATTTTTTAATTTTCAATAAATGTTTTGCGTAAAACGTGACTCGTTTTTTACAGACTTCTAAAGGGGGTACCTAAAATACACGCCCACCTTCAGCTTGTTGAGAAACAATTTCAACACATCACCTACAAAACAGAACATGTTTCATTAACTGAAACATTAAAAAATTAAACTTTAGTAACTTTAAAAATAGATTGTAAAATTACAAAATATACATACAATTTATAAATAAAATTATATTCAATAATTATAATTTTTATGTAATGATAAAAAAGATATTCAAAGATATTTCAGAGATTTATGAAAGTTAAATAAGAAATTTAAATACTAACCGCGTGCACATCTACAGTGCCTCGTGCATCATAAGTTAAAGACATCCCAGTTGACTCTTCCACCCTAGAAATAGTTTTATACGGGGTAGATAACCATAGAAATAGTTTTATACAGGGTATAAAACTATTTCTATGGTTTTCTAAATTCTTTCATTGTTGCACACTCGTTGCAACAATGACAGCTTAATGGGGGAGTGGTAAAACAGCTGTAAAACTCTTAATTTCTTTTTTATGTTAATATTAAATAGTTTTGACTTTTAATTATTTTTAAAAATAATAACGTTTATAAAATGATTTAACTTAAATATAATATAATTTTTTTTTTAAGTTCTTATTAAAAAAAAAATTTCGTTTAAGAAAAAGTTCAGGTTGCCACGTGGCAAAGTTTAATTCATCAACTTGCTTGTTTTTTAATTTTTGTTATTTAAAATGCAAATCATAAAAACTTTATAGTTCTATAGATTTTATATTCTATATAAACATGTTGTATACTCATTTTCCTTGCACAAAATCAACTTAGTTGTAAATAAACTTGAAATGTAAAACTAAAATAACATAAGTATCTCAATAATGAGACACGCGCAATGAATTTCGCGACCTACTCTTGAAAAATATTTTCTTTGATAATACTAGGGACCCAACAAATCATGACCCAATAATAAGGGCCATGACCCAATAAATCTTTAATGTCATAACATTATGAAATCATGATGGCAAATGACATTTGCAATTATTTCATAATATTATGACATAATGTCATGATGTCAAATATCATTAGACATTTAAAACAAAATTTAGTAATGAAATTTATACTTTGACTTTTGTATTAACTTAGTAAAAAGCGTGAAGTTGTTGCTGATCTTGCTCCAATGCTCTGGCATTCTTTCGGTACAATAGCAGCTCTATTGCAAGAAATCGTTAATATATACCCTATGGTCAACCCTCCTAGTCTAACAGTAAGAAAATTTTTTAATTTATGTAAAATATTTAAATTTTGGATATTAAATTTTGCTGAAAAATTTTTATGCAAAAATAATCTTGGTAAAATGTTAATTTCTTTATGTTTTAATTTTTTGATGTTGGATGCATATCTTATTTAGAAATTTGCATACAAAAAAATGTGACTTGAAATGGAGGAAAATGCCATAAATCAATACTCCCAAAAGAATATTTTTCAAATAAAATAAACTAGTTTTAAAAATAGGCTTATTTGAGACAGGTGCTTAATTACTTGTGTGACATTTTTGCTGGTAAAAAGTTTTTATAAAAAAGGCAAAAAACATTTCTTAACTATATATGATGATAATTTAATTATAGGATGATAATTAAAATTTTTAATGATATTATTGTCAATCTTTTTGATTCTCAAATTATATTATTTAATGATATTAATGTATTTAATGATATTATCGTCAATCCGTATTATTTTCATAATGATTTTTGATTTATAATATATAATGATTTATAAATTTTAATTTATAAATAAAATTTTGATTTATAATATTATTAAAATAAAATTTTGGTTTATAATATATGATTTATAAATATTATTTATAATGATTTTATAATGATTATAATGGTTAGAATGATATTTAACTTTTTACATATCTTACATATCAGCTTCTTAACATATCAGCTTCTTAACAAATTAGTACACAAATTACAGTGGTTTTAGTCATGCTCCATTTATAATTTTTAAAACAATAAAAAAAATTTAACAAATAAATCTTGCTCTTAAACTCTATTCTTTGTTTTCTAGTAATTCCCAACTTAATAGTGGTTACTTGCAGCCTTGTTGGAAGTGAATCAGAATTTTAAAAATAACAAAGTTTATATGGTGTAGTATTTGCCGAAAGAGAAGATGGTCAGATGGAACTTAATCGGGGTTACTTGCAGCCTTGTTAGAAGTGAATCAGAATTAAAAAAATTTAAATACTGTGTAAATAAAGGATTGCCTTTTAATGCAAAAAAATATTTTTTAAAGTAATAATTTTAAAAAAGTTGTTTGAACTCTGCTCCACTTAGTTTTTATAATTATTACTTTTAAATGAGAGTATTTCTCTCAAAGTTTGTTGTTCTATTAACCATCCAAGAAACTGTTATGTGTTAACATAATTTTGAGTTTCAAAAGAAGGACAACCAAATTGACTAAACCAACTTTAAAGTTAACTCTTCCTTTTTGGAAATTTTTGTTTTCAGAATATCAAACAGTGAATCAGAAGCAAAAACTTTAAATTTAAATGATGGAATTTTACTTCATTTTTAGCTGATATTTTTACTAAAATATCAGTTAAAAATGTTTAATATACAAAATTAATTATACATAATTTTTTCCTTTTGGCTGAGCAATTATATTATTATAATTGTCATATAATGTGATAATTGTCATTTTATAACCAGGCTAAACTATATTATAAATAGGCCTGTCTTGAAAAAAAATTAACCTGGTACAAACTTCTTACAAGTATGATTCTATACTCCATTAAATCAAATGAATCATTAAATCAAACTAGTTATGGGCACAACGTAGTAGAAGATAGTAATAGAAACTGGTAGTACAGGTCCATAATATTAGAAATGTCTATGATATATATATAATAAAGTAAAAAAATATATATATTTTTACTTTAGACTTAAACACTATCAGCCTAAAATAAAAAAATATATATTTTTTACTTTTGAAAATGGTTTTGCTTATATTTATTTTAAATCTAAACTAAATACAATTTTTACATACTAATTCTTTATAAAAAGTTTTTTTTAATTCCATAAAAATTTCTAATATTTATCATATATATTTATTATATATATATCATTGACATTTCTAATATTATGGGCCTGTACTTTACTAATGAAACATATTCAGTTTCTAAGTCAAAATAAGAGATGGCAGATGCTGACCTGTCAAAGGTAACATGTCAACTTTTCTGTAACAATGCTTTAGGACTAAATACGCATATTTCCACAACTTACCATGCTTTAAAAAGTGCCAAAGATATGTTACCCAAATGATTTTAAGGTCTCTGATTACTCTGCAGAAGTTCCATTACAGTCTCTACTAAGCACACAGTACAGCGGTTAGGCACAGATCGACATTTCCATAGATACAACTTCTACTCAATGCTGCAGTGCAGGTGGCATTTCACCAAAATTATATTTATAGTATCCTGTCTCAAACTTAACATAAAGTTCTGAATCACAGACATTTGGTAATAGATTTTTTTAACTTATGGACAAGATGTCAGAGGGTGCTAGATCCATATTGTACTCCACTAATCAACCCACTAATTAGATTAGTAGGGAGGTGTGATTAGTTAGAATAGGGTTTTATTTGCCAATATTGGTGTTGGAGAAAGGACTAGTATAAAATGTTGCTTTTATATTAGGCGTGAAGAAACAAAAATATAAAAACGTAGATTACTTTAAATTTAAGAAATATATATATATATATATATATATATATATATATATATATATATATATATATATATATATATATATTTTATATATATATATATATATATATATATATATATATAGCTTACTTTATTATAAATGGTATTAATAAAATCTTTGTTTTCAAAAATGAAAAGAAGTGTAAAAAAAGTAGTTACAAAAATGCAAATTGAAAATAAATAGAACAAATTAGAAAAATAATTAATAGGAAAAAAAATTTATTATAAAAAATATAAACAAACCAAAATATATTTTTAAGTTCATTAATAAAAAAGTGCAGTTGGACTGTTTGTTTTATTTTTAATTATTATTTTACTACATTTATCTACAAATAGCTTTAAGAAAATTGCCTTAATTTTCTTTTAGGCTCACCAATCAAACCGAGTCTGCAATGCATTGGCACTTCTTCAGTGTGTGGCATCCCATCAAGAAACCAGATCACCATTTTTGCAAGGTTTTATTCTTAAATTAATTTAAACTATGCAGAATTGTTGTAAACAAAAGTTTTTTTTTTTTTAATGAATTAAAAAAATAATATATATTAGATTAGTTCTCAAACAAGTTACAAAAACTTTATAATTATAATTAACAAAAAAAACTTTTTGTTTATCTTTGTTTTCAATATTAAAAGTGAATTTTGCATATTTGAAAAACATGATTTTTTTTAAGGTATTTTTGAGACTCACTATATTAATATTTTGTCTTTCGAAATGAAATTTAAAAAAAATGAAAAGATTTTAAACACTGATTTTTATAAAAATATATTTGTTGTTAACAATAATAAGATTGTTTTAATAAGTAACAATTTTCAAAAAACTCTGAGTTTTTACAAAATTCAGCATTTTATATTCATTTTTAATTTTTTAACTCAAGCTCAAATTCCATTGTTTCTCTATCCATTCTTACATACCACAAGTAAAACAAGACCATTTGAATATTTGCGGTTGACCAGTCTAGGAGTTGTTGGAGCTCTAGTAAAGGTATTAACTTTTATTTGTTTTTGTTGTTGACATTTATATATATTTTATTGTTTTTTAAAAAAACCGCAATAATGACTAGAAAGTTTTTTTTAATTAGTGGTGTTTTTGTTTCTGTTTTATTAAAAAACATTTTTAAAACATGCGTAAGTGTTGGTACATCGACTATCTTATAGCCTGCTGCTACAAGGGAGTGTTGCTACATCGACTATCTTATAGCCTGACTCGCAACGGAGTGCTGTTACATCGACTGACAAATAGCCTGACTCGCAAGGGAGTACTGCAACATTGACTGAGGGTTTGGTTTGGGTAGGCAGTCTACAATTTAAAACAAAAAAAATTTTCTTAAGTTTTTCAATATTTTCTGGTCAGGTTTATTAACGCGCTCTTTAAAACAACAGTTTAAAAACTTTGTGACTACCATGCAAGACTATATATATATATATATATATATATATATATATATATATATATATATATATATATATATATATATATATATATATATATATATATATATATATATATATATATATATATATATATATATATATATATATATATATATATATATATATATATATATATATATATATGTATATGTATATATGTATATATGTATATTTAGATTAAATGTTAAACTTACAAATAAATTTCTTAAAGCAATCACTTACAATATCTCTTAATTTATTTGCCCTAGACTGATGATCAAGAAGTTATAACTTTTCTGCTGTCTACTGAAATTATTCCGTTGTGTCTAAGAATTATGGAAGCAGGAAGTGAACTGTCAAAAACTGTATGTTTTGAATATGTTTTATGCGTTTTAATTTTTATGTTTGTTATGTGTTAAGCATTGGTTTTGAATATTCAATTGACGGATTTCAACAGCAGAAATATTGTTTTTTTCAAAAAGCACAAAAAACACAGTAAAATATGTTGGTTTTGATTTACCTTTGTGCTCAGGTTTTTCATTTATACTTTATTTTTTAATAGTTATGGCTCTTAATATCTTTTTTTACAAAATAAAATAACTTATAAGAACTTATTATGAATAAATCTTCATTACTTCCTAAATCTTTTATTTCTAAAAATATTGGCTAAAAAACATTTTAATGAAACATTTTTAAAATCAATTTTTTTTTTTCTTTTTACGAGTATTTTTTTTTTGTTGAGTTTTTCATATATTTTCATATTTCCAAACTTTGATGTTTGAAAATATAACATAATTCATTTCAGTTTTGAAAACAAAACTTTCTATTTTGCTTTTTGTACATTATTAATTGATTGTTGAAATAATGTGTACGAGGCGCATAAATGATAAAATGCAAACATTTTTGTGAATCATATTTTTATCGGTATTTGATAATGTTATAGATTTTTAGCAATTTTTTAACCTGTTCTTTTAAATATAATGCAAGAAAGTAGATATTTTACCTGTTTGCTAAAAGTTGGTATATTACCAGTTTGCAAAATTGCTATATTTTACCGGTTTGCAAAAAATTAGGTATTTTACCGGCTTGTATTTTACCAACAACTGTGACTAATCTCTTGAACCTCTAAGTTTTAATTTTTTTATCTTAACAGGTTTTTTAGAAGTTTTTTTAGGACAATAATCTTTGTTGACCTATCAGGTTTATGTTAATTAAGCCTGGATCAAGGTAACAGATGTTGTTAGTTTTTTTTTCAACAATACTTGGAAGCAATCTTTTGTTATTTTATTACTTTGTATTTCTATCACGTAAAGCTTGTGATAAGGACCATTTTCATTAATTGCCATAAAATAACTATAAAAAATTGTATGAAAAAACCAATGAAATATTGCCATGAATGCATTATTGGAATTTTTAAAAAAAGCTATACATTATTAATAATAAAACTTACCTCGCTTTGGCTTACAGGACACTTGATAACAAATATTTTTCCTTCATTTTACATACATGACTTTGCAAATGAGTTTCAAAGAAATCCACAACAATAATGCCATAAAACTTTAAAACTCATTTGCTTTTGTAATCTTCAGATTACAAAAAGCAAATGAATCTTCAGATTTCAAAAGCAAATATTTCTTCAGATTACAAAAACAAATAAATCTTTAGATTACAAAAGCAAATGAATCTACAGATTATGGGGTTTTGTGAAAATTAGCAGAAGTAAAAAAAAAATTTATGTTGCAAACTAGAGTTATGATAAAGTATAGACAAACGCTTTTCTGCTTTATGCTTTTCTGGTTGCTGTTTCTCGTTGTGCCTTTCTTATAAAGATTAAGCAGTTTTCAATTATCAAAAGTTAATACTTAGATACAATCGATCAGTATACAACTAATGCCTTTTGTTAAAGAGCATCGCATTGATAGATAATACTTATTTTAACGTGATCAGTAGATTACACTAAGCCAAAACAGTCATAGTTTTTTTTAAAAAGAAAATGGTCTACGCAAAGAACACTTTGTAATAGGTTAAATGATTCCAGAAAGTTGACAAGAATCTCATAAAAGGCTAAGTGATATTGTTTTAAATTGGAAAAATCGGAACTTATAGATTTGTAGAAGAAATTTTTTATTTAAACTAGTGAAGTAATTAGAATTCTGCTAAAAAATTTTGTTTACTTTGTTTATTTTGCTTTAGATCCATATATATTATACATTTTTACGGATCTTTATTAAACGTCTGGTAGTATATGCATATATATACATGTTCAATTAGTGCATATATATACTACAATTAGTCAACAATATGTTTAAATCGTTTTTCAATTTTAAAGGTTGCAACTTTTATTCTTCAAAAGATTTTACTTGACGAAACTGGCCTCTCTTATATTTGCCAAACATATGAAAGATTTTCACATGTGGCTATGATACTGGTGCGTATTGTTACATATATGTTTTTAACGTTTCTTTTTGTACATTTTATATACTATTATATCATATACTATTATATCATATTACTGCTATAATGCTATAAATATTTTTACTTTAAGACTATATTTGTTGCATAATTTATTTGTTGCATAATTTATTTTCCTTATTTTCAGGGTAAAATGGTAATAGCGCTAGCCAAAGAACCTTCCACTCGTCTTTTAAAACACGTAGTTAGATGCTATTTACGACTTTCAGACAACCCCAGGTTTCTAGCTTATACTAAAATTAATTAAATGTAAATTTATTGTTTCAAATTAACTATAACATTTAAAAACTAGTAAAATTATTTTCTCGAAAACATAAGCTAAGACACAATGTATTAAGTTAAAGTCAGTAATTTGTTTGGTTAAAATATTTTAATTTTTTATTTCAAAGAGCTCGTGAAGCACTTCGTCAATGTTTACCAGAATATCTTAAAGACAACACTTTTGCAAATTGTTTGAAAGACGATACTTCTACTAAGAGGTGGCTCTCGCAACTTATGAAAAATCTTCAAGATGTACCTGCTCCAACTTTAGGTGATCAACGTGGCATTCCTATGCCTCCTTAAAAACATTTTAAGTCAAGATAAGCGGTGAGTTGTAGTAGATATTCGTACATCTAAAGATATTACAGTTTATTAATACTGAAATGTATCATGAAAAACGTTTTTCACAATAACATAATTTATGATGTTTGTCATACTTTATGAGTGTAATAACTTTGTCTAAAAAATAAACAAATTGTTTTAATACTATTACCATAATTATTTTTGAAGATTTAAAAAAGTATTTTACAAATAACATTAACGCTTGATTTTGGTAAAAGTGAAGATCAATGAAACAAATTACTTATTTGAATTTGTAAAAAAATATTAAATTTAAATGTAATAAAAATGGAAGTTTAAAGTTTGTTATATAAAATAAATAGTAAAATTTGTTTAAAATTTTTTTTTTTGCAATTTTTTTTTTTTTGAAATAAGCCAGATTGCTCTGCGTTTGAATAGTGTGGAATTACCTAGACAAAATTAGATTTGAAGCTAAATCAAATTGACTTGTGTCACCAAAAAACTAAATGTAAAAGCTTTTAAACCACAGGCCATTTAACTCTATCGTTCAGTTTCGTAGCGCAGTCAAGAGTTCTAACCGTTTTACAAATTATCAAGCGGTGTAATAAATTAATGTTAAAATATCTTAGTTTTTAAAGTTAGTGTATGTTTCGATTTCTTCACGTCATTTATTTTCTTGTCGATTTAATGTTAGTGCATTTTACAGAAGTGACAAACTGTAAAAAAATTTATTCCATAAATGACACAACAACGTTTTTAAATTCTTTATTCAAAATGTCAGCTGAGTACCAAAGCCCATTCTGTCTGGTAATTTAAGTGGAATTATTAGTGTATTATATTAGTTAACAAAAAAAAAGTACGAATGCAAATCTAAGTATAAAAAAGACATTTAAAAACTTTAGCATATAAAAATTCCCTGAATGGTCACACGTGCAGTTAATGCCTGAGGAAAGGAATGAAGTACATTAGAATAAAGGAGAATTATTTTTTGAAAAAGGAAATATTTTGACTGTTGTCAAGACAAAAATAAAGATTAATAGAAGAATATTTAAAAGTAAATAAGACAGACTATGTACCTAAAACAGTACTTAACAATAATAATATTTAAAAAAAATGTTTTATACATACTAATATTAACAAAGATTAATGCTCAACTTAATTTATCCGCGCAGCGGCCTTGGTTGTCAAGGTTCGTGTTTCAGAGTTAAAGAGTTGAGAGAAGGTTGTACCACGATTTACAACAACAACAAAAAAAAATGAGTAGCCTCCTCGACTGCAGTGGCCCCCTCGGGCCTTGGGGAGGTGAATAATTAAAAAAAAAATTAAGTTCAAAGTTCTTTAACAACGGTTCTCGGTGACAAGACCTGTATGGTCTTCTTTGAGTATCCGCGTTCTTTATCTTTATTCTTTATTTTTTTAACGGTTTTTTTGCATGTAACTTTTCTTATTAATATATTTGTAAATATTGTATTAAATATTGTAATAAAAAACCAAAAAAAAAAAAAAAGCACTTATAAATAGTTTATCCCGTCAGACAAACGTCATCGCCACTTATGCTTTACCCCGCGACTTACGCCAATTCTGCAATACTGTCCCCAAATTTGGGAACCATACTGTCCCCAAATTTGTAAAGCATCAATATTTTTTGATGACATGATGTTAAAAGTGCAGATCTACAAAACAAACAAAAATAAAAAATAATTAAATAAATCACTACCATACCACCAATAGAAAATATGAAAATCCACCCAGTGGGCACCGGACCAAAAAAAGATATCTTTGGAACGTTCAAAAGACGTCCGAAACGTGTATAAGACGTTTAATAGACGTCTTTTTTACGTCCGTGTCCACTGGGCAATAAATTAAAGTTCTAATAGAAACACAAAAATACTAATAAACTATAGGGAATTCAGACAACTATTTAGAACAGTTTTTAGCGAATGTAAATAGTTTTTATAATAAATGCATTGGATTCCTTAATATATTTCATTTCCAAACTACTTCTGTAGCTTATTTAGTTCCAAAGATATACTTATTTTAATATTTTCAATTCGTAGACATTTTATGAAATATTTTCATAAAGTATATCGTTAAATTTTTGGTACCGAAAAAAAATTTTTTCTTGTGTAAAAAGTCGCTGTAACAAACTTTTGATATAATTATATTAGAAATTAAACCGCATATGCAAATTATTTACAATCAGGGCCGACGACACGAGTTTTAAAGTGGAGGCTGGGGGGAGGGTTTGTGAAAAATTTGTGGAAAAAAGTCCTCTATATCAAGATTTTTCTTTTATTATTATTATTATAGTTGTAGCCGTAAAATATACATACCATATATACATAGAGTGAGCAGATAAAACACCCTACTATAAACAACCAGTTTTATAAATATTCGTTCCGAATTTTATCCTTAACCAGTTATCTAATTTAATTTTAAAAAAAGTACAGTGGAGTATAAAGTTACTTGCTCGGTTAGTTCACTCCAGTATTTTGCTGATTTATTATATAATTGGTTGTGTCTAGGAATACAGTTTGGAACATATTCACGTCTTATTTTAAGATGGTGACCACGTGACAATGAGTTTATAAATTTGGTTGATATATATTATTAATTATATCAAATCGATGTATTAGTTTAAAAATTTGTATTAGATCGAATCATAGGCGCCGAAACTCGAGTGATGGTAAATTTAGTCTTTTAAGTCTATCATAGTATTGAAGATTTCTCAAGTTTAAAGCCCATTTTGTTGCTTTACGTTGAACGTTTTCAACCAAAGCTACGTCAGTTTTTAAATACGGGGCCCAAACAGACACTGCATATTCAAGGTGTGGCCTTATAAACACTTTATATAATTTAAGAGCCATTTTTTCATCAACGAATGTCCTTTTTAGCATACCAAGAATTTGTAAAGATTTGAAGACAACTGATTGAATATGTATGCTCATATTCAATCAGTTGTCTTATATATACTATAGCAGCCAAAAGTCATGGTTACAGCAGTTTTATTTTAGAGTTCAATACAATTCTTGTCATGTAGTCATTTATTTAGGCTTTTAGTATGCCCAGAACGTGTCATCGTGAATGTGCTATTAATAGAACACTGTTGTTTACATTGACAAACCGATAAAAATAGAGTTTTATCAATTCATTGTAGATTTATATATAACAGTTTGAGCATTCTATATAAAAACAAAATTTTAGATTTACACAAAGGTAAGAAACAATATTGTAACTATTTATTACATAATGTATTTTGTAAACAAACAGTTGTAGAAATAGTAGATAGTAATTTTTAATGAATGAGTGATAATAGAGATGATGTGGTAATTTTTTAGACATTAAGTATTGATTTAGAAGAATATTTCTGAATAAATAGTGAAAATTATTTTAAAAATAATAAGAAAATATTGAACATTACCTAAACCTGTTTAAAACACTGCAGAAATGTTTGTCTTACTGTTATAATTGTTTATACTATGATTTAAGTGACTAAAGTATTAATTATTTTTATAGATTTTGCTGAATAGCCATGAGTCAATACAACAAGCTGAGCATTCAGGACAGAATGGCAGCCTTCGTAAAGGCAGAAGAAGGCAAATCTTATCGGGTGATCGCCAAAGAGATGGGCATAGGTGTAAATACTGTTGCTAGAATAGTAAAGAAGATGAGACAGACGGGTAGTGTCGGAGATTTACCAAGGTCTGGGCGACCGAAGAAAACCACACCGAGGATGGACCGAGCACTGATTCGGATGTGTCTCGAGAATCGTCGCCAGACAGCCGTTGACCTGCGCGCTCTATTGCAAACTGAGATGGGGGTCGTTACAGGTGCGAGTACCATACGACGCAGACTGAAAAATGCAGGTCTGCATGGCAGAGTTGCAGCCAAGAAGCCTCTCTTATCTAAGGCTAATAAGTTGAAGAGACTGCGATTTGCGAAGGAGCATAAGGACTGGACTGCCGAAGACTGGAAGAAGGTGCTTTGGAGCGATGAGAGCACCTTTCAGCTTTTCTGTGGAGCAAGGCGAGTCTTGGTTAGGAGGAGAATAGGTGAGAAGTATTACAAAGACTGCATTGCTCCAACAGTAAAGCATGGAGGGGGTTCCCTCATGGTATGGGGTTGCATGTCTTGGTCGAGAGTAGGGCAGTTGTACCGCTGTAACGGTACTGTAAATCAGATCGAGTACCTTAACATCCTCAAAAATCATATGCTGCCTTCTGCTAGAACCATTTTTGGTGCGAACAGGAGGTTTGTATTTCAACATGACAATGCACCTTGTCATAAGGCGATGACAGTGTCTGATTTTTTGAGGCATGAGAATGTACAGGTGATGGACTGGCCTGCTCAAAGCCCAGACCTCAACCCCATAGAACATATGTGGGAAATCCTCTTCAGAAAGGTGCAGGATTCAAAACCAAGCACTTTTGACCAGCTTTGGCAGTTGCTTGAAGTAGCGTGGTCGCAGATTTCAGTTACTCAGATTCGAAATCTGATAGAATCAATGCCGCGCCGTATTAGAGCCTGCCTTCGCGTGCATGGTGGACACACTAAATATTAAAGTTTTGTGTGAATTTTATGTAAATATGAATTTATTTTGTTATTCTTGTCAATCTTTGATGTTTTAGGTAATAAATATCAATCTATGGAAGTTGTTTTCAATTAAAACTGGTAAAACTGTAGTTAAAAACCACTGTAACCATGACTTTTGGCTGCTATAGTATATATATATATATATATATATATATATATATATATATATATATATATATATATATATATATATATATATATATATATATATATATATATATATATATATATATATATATATATATATATATATATACATTGTTGTCAAACAACTTTATACAAAATTTGCCTTGGCTATTCCGTTCATAAATTGGACAAAATTTTCTAACTTACTTAACGAAGTGCACTCTCGCGGAAAGTGTGGAGTTTTTCTCCACACCGGTGTGTAGATATCACTCCTACACACAAGTGTGGAGTTATTTTGCACACTTTTTTGGAAATTAACTTTTTCTAACTCGACTTCTGCACAGAAGTGTGGAGTTATTTGCACAAAGTTGTGCAAAATAACTCCACACTTGTGTTTAGGAGTGATAGCTACATACCAATGTGTAGGAAAACTCCACA